AAGCTCTCTGTTGTTCACTCCACCCATCTGGCATCCCCAGGGGATAACCTGTGTCTCTGCTCAGTCCTACTTGCAGTGTCACTGCAAGTCAGGCTCCATGCAGGGTTGTTCTGGCTGCACCAGTATCACCTGACACCTGGGAATGCAGAACTGCTTTGCTGCAGAAACTGCCCTTCTGGTGTGTGGCTGACAAACCCTGGGCAGCCTGAGGGTAGGGCTGTGAACTGAGAGGGCTCTATGCTTCAAAATTCAGATTTAACTCTCAAGCCATTCTTCCCGGGGTGGGAAGGGAATTGAATTGTGGACACAGTAACAAGAGAAGAGTTCCCAACCTTGGGCTGCAAGGATTGCTGCAAGGTCAGCCTCTGTCCAGAACCACTGCTGGCCTCTGGGCAGCTGAATGCAGCACTCCATGCAAAGAGAGAGGGCACAAATTTCATGTTCTTCTTCCAGATTAGCATAACTTGCCTTGTGAAGGAGTGTGGGTGGTTTGTGACTCTCCTGGCATTGTGTGATTACGTTCAAAGGCTGCAGGATCCCAGCAGGGCCATTATGGCTGGCGCTGTTGTGCCCTGGGTTGCTGCTCTGAGTTCAAAGTCAAATTCGGAGAAATGAGAGAGGTGACTCCCTGCCCACAGGGGCACACAGGGTGAGTCAGCTCAGCCTGTGCCGTTTCCATGCTGGAGAGGCAGCTCAGGAGAGACAACACAGTGGTGTTTGAGCTGAGCAGGGAGCTTTGGGCTCCAGCACGGGCCTAGGCCTGAGCTCACCTGCCACACTGTGTGTTCTCTGCACATCCCACCGCTTGGAAAGCCTGGTGCTGGCTGCAAAGAGCTGGGAGGACTTGTCACTGGGACCTGGAGGCAAGGCAGCAGCAACAGGGAAAAGATAACAGAGCAGAGCACTGTTGGTCTGCTTTAATATTACATCCTTCTCTCTTGGACTCTCCCATTCGTGTGTTTCCTTCGCAGGCCCTGAGCGTCCTGTTGCTCCCACGTAACATCCCCTCCGGCCTCAGCCTCCTCACCAGCATGATCGATGATATCTGGCATTATGCTGGGGACCAGTCCACAGATGTAAGTCTTTGTGCTTTGCAGACAGGCTGGTTCTACCCCTCAGCACTTCAGCAAAAATTATGGGTTCAAGTAGGCCTGGGGCCACATCCCTCTGGAAAGGCTCTGTTTGTTGAATGGGGAAGACATTTCAGAAGCACCCAAGGTTCCTTATAAGCTACAGTCTAATTTCTAAAGAGACTAAATGCAAATTAGTGCCAGTGGGATTAGTGCAAATTAAAAGGACCTACTTTCCTAGGCTCTTAAGTGCTCTTCTTTTTCATTTTTGAAGGCACAGATTGTTGAGATTCTGAGACTAAGAAGTTGATCCAGTATTCAGTGAGCGAGCAGTGTCTCTGTCAAACAGCTCTCTTCCACCAGCAGTAGCATTTACAGACTTGACTTGAAAACCTTTAAAGAACCTACCTAAAAATACCAGTAGCTTATTAAAGCTTTCATCTTTCTGGCAGGAAATAAAAGAAAATTATAACCTTAATTAAAGCAATTAATAAATTACTTTAATTCTTATAGATGTATGAAGAGATGGAAAAAGCTAAATGAGCCATTTTAACAAACTACTTTAATAAGCTTCTTTTATCTGGGTATAAAAGAGAAGCTACTGCAGTGAAAAATAAATAAGATGACAGAAAAATTAAAGGAATGAACCAGAAGAGAACTGAAAGAACATGATTGCTTCAGGAACTGAAAGTCCCTTCTGGGTTATGAAAGTCAAATTGACATGTTGGAGCCAGTGTCTGCACTGAACTGTTCCTGAAGTGTCCTCACTGACACAGAAATTAGGAGAGGTTCTAAAGTTTGTGTTTTGTTTGCACCTTCTGACTGGTTACATGAGTTTTCTGGGGAAGCTGTGATGCTGAGCCCACTCCCTCTTTCCCAGTAAAGGGGTTTAAAGTTGCTTGCAGTGGATCCTTCTTCCCAGTGCCAGGAGCTAGGCAGAGTGTGCCCATGCCTCAGAGACCCCCTCAGGTGGGTTTTTTTTGGAGCAGGAGAAGAATCAATAGAAAGAGTTTGGTCTCAGGCACCTGATCCAGCTGCAAGTGGCAACATGCCCCATGTTTCTCCCCTTGTCAAAGCTTGCAGGTTGTGGTGCCAGCAGTGGAGCTTTCCACCCAACTGCTGTTTTTAAAATCAAGCCCCGCGTTTTCATTTTTCTGTTGCTTTGTTATCATGAATGGAACAACCAGAATTTTTTTCTAGACAACAGCAGCAAATGAAGACTCGTTTTTAACAATTTTTATATATTTCATCTGCCAGTGGCTCAAGTGCCACTGGAAAATATGAGGAGTTTGAGTTATTTTGTGCACCTTTGCATTGTGTAACCCGTTGGTGTAATGCACCTACAGCACTGCTGCCAGCACTGTGCTGATGCATTTTGTGACTCAGCAGGCAGCACTGGTATTTCAGGGACAGGACTTGGTAAAAGGTGTATTTCTCTGTGATGTCCTGCACAGTTTGTCCTCTGTTTGTTCCCTTTCTTCGTGGTTGTCTCTGGTGTGAGCTGCAGCCCAAGTTATGTACTGAGTGTGGCTGTTTCTCCTCTAATCAGGTCTGAGTTGGAGCATTGCATTGCCTGGCAGCCTGTAAAGCAAAGGTGAACTGTTACACAGTGCACACAGGCTGGACAAGGAGGACTTGCTGCCTGCTGCAGGTGCCTGCTTGCAGCCAGAGGCAGGTGGGGGGGGTTTGCTCAGCAGTTTTAGGCACTATCCATGTGATCCCTGTCCGGTGCCACTGGAGCAGCTGTTCTGATAGGGACACGTTTTAAGGGGGGAAGGAATGTGCTGTCGGTGTGTGATTTTCCTTTGCCATTCTCTTGATCTGCCTTCAGGCCACACCTTTGTCTCTCTCTCCTCTCCTGCCCTTGCAGTTTAACTGGTACACCCGCCGGGCTGTGCTCACCGGCATCTACAACACCACCGAGCTGGTGATGCTGCAGGACTCGTCCCCTGACTTCGAGGACACCTGGCGCTTCCTGGAGAACAGGGTGGCTGACGCCATGAACATGGGCAATACAGCCAGCCAGGTAACGTGAGGGGCAAGGCACACGTGCAGCATCCCCCTTCTCCCCAGGGGTATGTGCAGGCAGACCTGGCTTTTCCATCAGGCAGATCCCACAGCGGCTGAGAGAGCCCCTTGTGCTGGCAGGTGGTTGCTGTTGGTTCAACATGAATAAAAGCTTATGTGTTTTCTAGCGGAAGGACACGTAGGTGCCCTGTGTGTCAAAGTGGCCCAGTGGTTGGGAGACAGCCCAGGAAACCTCTTCCATGTGTCTTACCTCTGTCATTTGTCTGAAGTGCTGTCAGCACCTTTCTGTAGCAAATAGGTGCTTGTTGTGCACTACGTCTCTGTGTTTGGGGGCCACAAGTGCAACTGCAGAAGAAAGCAAAAGGCCCCGTTCTCCCTGTGTCTCCCAGGTACAATCCTCTGGAGAAGCTGTTGTCCAGGGCCTGATGGGAGCTGCAGTTACTGTAAGTAATGCTGAAACCAGCAGGGCTCTGAGACCAAAATTGCTCCTGTCCCCTTCCATGCTGAATGCCAGCGTGGTTTTTCCTCCCAAATCTAGGGGACAACATGACAAAGAATTGTCTTTCATAACTTAGATATGTTTAAGGATGATTTCCAGGGTAGTTTGGGAGTTAGTTCACAGTTTTGTGGTGAAGGAACTTGCAATAGAGCAGAAAGAAATTAAGTCTGAAGCTGCAGGGTGAGCTTTAGGGATGAGAGGCAGGTGATCAGAATAAATACAGCTGTTCTCCACTGCTTGTCACAAGATCTCTCCCTCTGCCAGGCCCTGTGCTGGAGATTGTAACGGAGGGTTCGTGCCCCCATGGACACTTGGGAGGTGGCACCTGTCCCTGAGCCAGAGCAGGGCGACTTCCTCAAGCTGTTTCAGTTGACCTCAGTGTCCTTCCAAGAATTCATTCACTTCTTGGTAATGTCCTGGACTGCTTTGTGTCCATGCAGAGGGAGCTGCGCTTCCTCTGGGATACAAAACTGCCCTTTGTGTACCCAGGAGTGACTTTTCAAGGGCTTCAGGGCCTTGCTGTGATTCTGGTTTTGGACAACTCCCATTGCATTTAGCAACAAAGTGATTTCCTTGCTATCAGAAATACATTTTCCTTGTATCAGGACAAGACAAACAGGCTGGAACATAAATTAGAAATAATTTTTACTGATGAAGCAGTTCTCAAGATTCTCTCCCACCTCCTTCCCCCTGCAGTTATGGTGGAATTTAGTGTCTCTCAGCCTCTCTCATCTTTTCACACGTGCATAATCCAAAAGGGCCCTTTGCTAAAAAAATCCCCGTGCTCTGTTTGTGCTCTTTAGTCTGTCCCTGCAGTAGATCCACTGCACAGATAAACAGGAGGAACTGGATGGATTCTGAAGGGGTTGGGTTGTAGCCAGGTGTTTTAGAATAGAATCATCTCAACACATTAGGGGGAAAGAAATCTTGACCCTCCCATGTCCAGGGGTGCTGTGCAGGTGTCACCAGTGTGTCACTGTACAGGTGTCCTGAGCTCTCCAGGTCTCTGCAAAACGGACGGGAGAGCTGAAGGCCCCAAAAGCTTAAATTCACCCTCAGGGTCTGTGTGGCCGCAGGAACAAAACCAAGCTGAAACTTGGAGAGCAGGTACCAGTCAGAGGGGTGGCTGTAGGTGGATCCAGGAACATCGTTCACCCCCTCCCGGCCCCTGGCCCTCGCCCCCACACCTCAGCTCCCAGCACACGGCAGCTGCTCCGGGACACCGACACTAAACCCGCTCTCGCTGTGCCCGCAGATCAGGAACCTGGCGGGGCTGAACCAGCGCCGGTGAGGCGGGAGCGGCGGCGAGCGGCCCTTTCCCCGGCACCAATAAACTCGTACTCTGTCTGGCACGGACTCTTTTTGCGGGAGCACCGCGGCCGGGGAGGAGCGGGGCGGGGACGGACCGGGCGGGAGCGGGGCCAGAATCGGGATCGGGACGGGGATCGGGGTCGGGAGCGGGAGCAGGCAGCCATGCCGTACGCCAACCAGCCCACTGTGCGCATCACCGAGCTGACGGACGAGAACGTCAAGTTCATCATCGAGAACACGGACCTGGCGTGAGCATCGGGCCGGGCGGGCAGGCCCGGCGGTGAAGCGGCCGGGGGCGGCCCCACAGGCCCGGCCTCCCCGGGGGGATCGCGCCCCGTGGCACCCGCGGTGTGGCCGGGTGGCGTGTCCGAGGCCAAGCCCCGCAGCGGCCCCGGCCCGCTGCTCCACGGCCTCTCGTGCCTAAACACGGGTGTTTCCCTCCCTCAGGGTGGCAAATTCCATACGAAGAGTGTTTATCGCTGAGGTCCCCACCATAGGTACGGCCTGTGGTCGCGGTCTCCCGGGCTACTCTGCCGGTGGCTCCCATCGCTTCCCCTCCGTGTTCTCCCGCACCTCCCGGCTGCTTTCGGCTCTCCTTAGCCATGTTCAGCCGGTCCTGTGTGCTGAGTGTACTGTCTCAGTGTGTCTCTGTAATGTTTCCTGTGCCCGCACAAACCGTTTGACTTTTCCTCACGTCAGTGTTTCTCAGTTTGTGGCTTTCTCCTCCCTGCAGCCATCGACTGGGTCCAGATAGATGCCAACTCCTCTGTGCTCCACGATGAGTTCATTGCACACAGGCTGGGTGAGTGCTGGGCATGGGGGGCAGATGAGGGTGGGTTGTGGGTGAAGTCAGTCCAAAGATGCTGAAACACCTTTGTCAGGAGGCTGCTGTTCCTCCACCCATCTTGGCAGGAAAGTCAGGAGCTCTTGTGGCCTTACTCAGAAATTCCCTTGATTTCCTTCTTCCCACAGGCCTCATCCCTCTCACCAGCGATGACATTGTGGATAAAATGCAGTATTCCAGAGTGAGTCAAGCAAAATGTCGTGGGGGCTTGTCTTGGTGGTGGTGGGTGTCTGATCCCATGGGAAGCGCTGGCAGTTTCTTGCACAAAGGTCTCAATCCATGTGTGTGTCCCAGGACTGTACGTGTGACGAGTTCTGCCCCGAGTGCTCCGTGGAGTTCACCCTGGACGTTCGCTGCAACGAGGACCAGACCCGTCACGTCACGTCCCGCGACCTCATCTCCAACAACCCCCGGGTCATTCCGGTCAGTGCCACCCCTCTGCTTGTCCCTCTCTCCATCCCTGCTGTGGCCAGGGTAGCAAACACGTGGAATGTGGACAAAGCAAGGCCTTTTGAGCATTGCCTAAAGCTCCACCTGAACCACAGTGGGAGAGCAAAGCAGAAATACCTGCAGAAGCAGTGCCAGTGCCCTCCTCGTCTTTTCAGTGTTGTCCTTGCTCTCTGATGGCATCCAAAGCAGTATGGCCTTGTCCTGCACCCCTCATCCCAAACTCTTGAGAGGCTTTAGTGTTGCCCTTTCATCTCACCTTGAACACCCCAAGTGTGTGTGTGCTTGTGTCCTGCTGCCGTGCCACTGCCTTCTGCTGCCTGTGTGCTGGACAAGGTCAGCCCCTTGGCAGCAACCTGAGGCCTCTGTTTTGCTGGTTCTTGGCTCTCAGCTCGGCAAGGTGTGAGGAGCCCTGGCCAGAGCACTGCTGCCAAACAGCTCCTGCACAGTCACCTTGTGGAGGATTGGTGGGACAGATACAGAGACTTACAGAAAATGATTTTATACGCTGTTGAGGCCACATCTGGATGTCACCACAACCTGGGGCTGCTCCTACTGCCTGGTGACAGTGTCTGCCTGGTTAAAGCCCAGCTGGAACCCACTGTCTTGATTTGGCTGAGGTGCTGTGAGTGCTCTGTGTCACCTACAGCAGTTGTGGGAGTGACTTTGGGAACAAAGCAGATGTGCTGGGCTGGACTGGAGTGCACTCCATCCTGTGTGGAGAGCAGCTCAGGAGACAAGCAGACCATTGTGGGGACATCACATACCTGCCTGCAGCTGCCTGAATTGCCCCAAATTCCATTAAATAGGGTGGGCTGGGTTTGTTGCTGTAAGTCACTCTAGAGGGGTTCTCCACCATCTCTAACTTTTGTAGACAACTGGTATTTGATGTGGAGAGAAAAGCTGATTTTGTCATTAACTTGCTTGCTTTCGTTCTGCTGCTGCAGGTGACGTCTCGGAGCAGAGACAACGACCCCAACGACTATGTGGAGCAGGATGGTGAGTGGCGGGTCACTGGGAATAAGAGCTGGAGGAGGTAATTAACTTTTTTGGGGGGTTCTTTGAACTCATTTTTCATTTACTAGCTGTGTAACCATAAGGCAGCTGTAAATCTGACACTTCAGAGCCACTGGCATCACTGCGTCAGTGGGGTAGCATTTTATCTTAATGGCACCTACAGCTTGTCCCCAGAACTAAAGTCCTGTGTCAGAGGGTGCTTCTGTCTCCTTGTGAGAGCTCAGAGACAGCAAAAAAGGTGAAATGGTGTGCTTTCCACTGTTCTCTGGGGGCCTGTGCAGCTCCTTTTTCCTTACCTGCTCTGGGGACACAGCCCCTCTAAGAATCCAAGCAAACCCTGGATACTGGTGGCACCAAAAATCCCTGCCTTTGCTGTAGCGTGATCCTGCAGGCTGATTTCTCCCCTGCAGCCTTCTCAGGCTGACGGGTGTGTGCTTTTGCAGACATCCTCATCGTGAAGCTGCGGAAGGGGCAGGAGCTGCGGCTGCGAGCCTACGCCAAGAAGGGCTTCGGGAAGGAGCACGCCAAGTGGAACCCTACGGCGGGCGTGGCCTTCGAGTACGACCCAGACAACGCGCTGCGGCACACGGTGTACCCCAAACCAGAGGAGTGGTACGTCCCACTGTCTGTCTTGATGCCTGCTCAGCTGGTGCTTAGAAAAAAATCCAGGAGCTGTTAGCTGGGGTGAGATAAGGAAAGGATTTAATTGTGCCAAGGCAACTGATGGTAAATGACGCGCGCCGGGCTGTGCCCGAGATGTTACATTTATAACAATATCTGGCCAATCTCAAGTGTGTCCACCCTCTGACTTTTGCTCTGGTCCACCCCCTGGCCCACCTCCCGGAATTGGGTCTGGGATCTTTTTGGGACCCCCTCTTCATCATCCTTCATCATCTTCGGGGTACAGAGAGCAGAGTCACCCAGTTCTTTGCCTCTGTCCTGCGGTTTAGGCCAAGATACAAGCGTTCCCCAAACAAGACAGGCTTGCCTTGACTAAGAGACAAAACATCTTCTACTGGATACGGGGATAGGGCTGATATGGGGGTATGGAATGGGGTAAGAGGCTTAAGGAATGTATAAACTAAGGGGTGCTAGGGGAGGAGGGAGAAAGGGGTTGCTTCTAAAATCTACTTCTATTACCTATAAAACTTATAAGGTAGAAAAATAAGAAAACTATTAGGGGTTTAAGGCATCAGTCTGGAGGCCCTGGGAAAGGTTTTCCAGCAGGCAACAACTTCCATTTCGGCCCTGGGGATGATTTGGGTCAGTAAGCGATGGTGGGTGTATCACTTCCTCCTGCACAGACTCTGCTCCTGCATTGGCCAGTCGCTTATTTTCAAGGTGAACTGGTTTGTGGTCACCTCTTATCTTCCCTCGTGTACCATCACTGCTGATTTGTCTGCCTTTGGTGCTCTTTTCCAGCTGATTTTTTTCCTCCCCTGTGCAAGTGGTGTGTAGGTCAGGGTAAAGTCTGAGGAAGGAACAGATCCATATGAAGTGGAAGAGGTTGCTGTGAGAGGAAAGAGTGGCAGGTTGGGTTGCAATACAGATTTTGCAGCCCTGTTTGTATGAGGAAGCCCAGTATGGCTCTGATTCCACCCATACATCTCCTCGCTCCTGGAGCCTGAGACCTGGAAGCAGGGTTTTTCCCTTTCCTCTCCTCTGACATATCATTCTGCACCAGTAGCATGCTGCTTCTCATCTAAAAGTGACATGATTTTGCTTTTGGAAAGCTGCTGCCCTGCTTTGGCCTGAGAGAGGACTTCACCTAGCATCTCTTTTCCATGAGTAGGTACCTGAGCTGCTCCTGGCTCTGCATCCCAGTGAGCACCTAGCAGACATCCTGTTGTTGAGCATGCTGGAGCCAGCAGTGTAGTGAGGAACCCGGTGCTTTAGCCAAGGCAGGCTGAGAGCGGGGACTAGAGGGGGTGGTGGATGTGCTGCCACAAGAGCAGGGCAGCAGCCCAAGGTCAGGAAGACCTCGGTACAGGAGCAGGATTTGGCACAGGGATGGCAGAAGCTGGGGTTGAGCAGGGGGCAATAAACCCTGAGCAGAGCTGCAGCTGGAGGGGAGGCTGAGCAGCAGAAGGGGCTCGGTGGGTTCTCCTCTGACTGCCAGACCCTGTGCTGCCACATTTGACTCTGCAAATGGCTGCAAGCAGTAGCAGGCAGGTGGTGGGGCTGTTGTACCTCCTCACTCTCTGCTTTGAGCCTGGTGTTCAAACCCATCACAGTGTTTGGCCTTACACCGTCCCTTGCTAAATTAGCTGTCCCTGAACAAGCTTCCCAGAGGTGCAGTTCAGCCCTGATTTCACACCTCATCCTATTGCCAGTGGCTTTCTGCTCTGGAGCTGTCAGGGAGATCCTGTGCTGCTCAGTTTGCACTTGGGAGGCTTGAGAAGCCTTTTGTCACCAAGGGTGGAGTTGCAGGTGAATCCCAACAGCCTGCCCGCAGCCATCCCAGCCCTGTTTTATGGGTGGAAGGAGCGAACCCCGCTTGGCTTTGATGGGCTCTGTGGGGCGCGTTCGTGGGCCCAGATCAGTCAGTCTGGGTGCAATGGGACGTGCCAGGCATTTGGCTCCTTCAGCACCTCGTCAGGGCAGTGCAGTAAGAACCAGGCTGGCAGGTAATGCTGGAATTCTGGAAATGGGCATTTTCCTCAGCCTTGATGATCTGCGTGCGTGGACTGAAGCTGCACTTAGGGAACTGCCAGCTGCAGACCAGGCTGTCAGGGGGAAGGTCTGTGAGAGGCTGGTTGACCACGACTGAGGGTGCTGCTCGACAGTCTTGTGGTCAGGAGCATGTCACAAGAGTTGATGTGCCGGCCTGTCCTTTGTCACCAGCAGTTTGGGGGATGGAACTGGACAGTTTTGAAGTTTCCAAATGATTTATGGCAGATAAATTGCCCCAAAATTTAGTTGACTGTCTGAGTGATAGATCGGATGCTTGAGAAACAAAGAATGGATGTGGAATTTCAAATAGGGATTTGAAATAATTTTAAGCTTCATTTTGGTGCCATAAAAATTCCTCGGTTTAATTTCTGCAGTGCTGGATCGTAAGTCTGTGGCACTGATGAAGTGACAGATTTGGAATGCTGCTTTGAGTGGGACAGTGGGGTGCCAGGCAGGCTGAGGTATCATTGGCTTTGCTGCCTTTTTGGATGGGGAATGTCACAGTGTGACTTTTGGAGAGCGTGGGCTTTGGGAGATGTTGGTGTCACAGAGAACAGCCCCACCTGAGCACCATGTGCACCTCGGCTTCCCTGGCTGGCCCAAGGCAGCTGCTAGTGGAGGTTCTTTTGTTTGGTGGCAGGGTCAGCTGCACCTTTAGGAATGTGGTGTGGTGTACAACAGTTTCTGAGAAGTTCTTGACAAAATATATGTAAAAGTTGGAAAAATCTGAAGGGAAGATTGACCTTGTAGCTGCCAGTTCCATGACAATACATCTGTCTTTCCAAGTTCGTCTGACCTTGCTGTGAAGACAATACAGAGCCAAAGGCTTCTGCTGTCCAAGGCTAGCTATGATTTTTGGTTTAGTTTTTCATGCTAATTGCTTTTTTGAGGCTGTTGGCAGAGCACTGGCATGCAGCTGGACTTTCCAAACAGCTGCCTTGGTGGTGGAAACCTCTGCTCTGTTTCAGTCATGAGTGGTTCTGCAAGTTGTGAGAAGTCCCAGCTCCATTAACACTTTTATCTCTCTCAGTGGTTTGTACAGATTTGTTTGAGAAATGCAGTTTTATTTCAGGCAGCTGATGACAGGGTGCTGGGATCAGCATTTCTGGGCATTGCTGGGGCAGAGGAAGGCCAGCAGGAGACCTTGGTGGGCACGGGATTTTCTGTGCTGGCTTTTCAGACAGCTCAAGGCTTTGGTTTTCTTACACAGATTAAGTGCTCCCACAGAGTCTCTCTGGTGTGGTGCTCTATAAACCAAGGGGTACAGTGGGTAGAAAGATGTGTTTGACTAACTGATGCATGGATATTGCAGTGATTTTAGTAGAGGAGTGGAGGTGCAGGACATCAGGATGGAGCTCACTGGTGCAGATGGTGTTTGAGGTACAGGAGGTTCTTTCCTGCTGGGTCCAAGCCAACTGTGCTTTCCCACCTCAGCTGTGCTCCAGAGACTTGAGCTCTGGGGTGCTCTGGTGCTTTCCTGGCCTAGTGGAAAGGGGAAAGAAAAGATAACACAAGGTCTATTACTCTGTAAAAACATCCAGGCTCCATAAACACAGTCCCTTCAGACATTGACATCCCTTCACTGTGAGCACCTCCTAGTACTCCCTGCACAGGGCTCTCTGTGTTTGGGCAGAGCAGGGCTGATCCCCCTCCTGCAGCGCTGCTGGGTGACTCTGTGGCATTAATGAGGAGCCAGGAAGGGCAATGTGGGACTGAGCATTTTTCTGGGACTTGATGTGTGCTGAGCACCCCGTTGTGTGCTGGGCATGAGCCCCATGCTCATTCTCTGGGGCCAAACTGAGTGCCTGGGCTCTGTGGGGCCAGGCCAGAGCAGGGGCTCTGTGCTGACCTCTCCTGCTCTCTGATTCCAGGCCCAAGAGTGAGTACTCGGAGATCGACGATGAGGATGCTCAGGCTCCCTATGACCCCAACGGGAAGCCAGAGAGGTAGGGAGCTGAATGCACTGCCACAGCTGGAAGGTGGGGGGACTGGTTGGGTGCATCTCATCTGCTCTTATTAATAGAAGAGTGTCTATTCTGTGCTGAAGTTGCCAGCCCAGGGAGCTGATGTTCCCTGAAAAGCAGAGCAGAATTGGGGTTAACTGGTGATTATGCCCAGATCTGACAGGCTTTTCCCTCTGGGAGATAATAGACAGCTCTCCTGAGTTCATGTTGCCAGGTAGGGCAGTGTACACTCGGTGAAGTGTGAGGCCTGCGGGGGGAGGTGGCTTAGGGGATTTATTCACCTGTGTGTGTGTTGTGCTCTGATTGCTGGTGTTCTTTGCACTGCAGAAGTGGCTCAGCCAGCTTTAGTCCCTGGCACGGGGCTTATTGCTGGCTCTCAGGTCATGGTGCTGAACAGAAATCAATCCCAGAAATGGTCTTGTAGCCCGTAAAGTTGTGAGTGTTGGTGTGACAGTTGTAGAGGGACAGTACTGGCTGGTGCCTGGTTGGGAGGTGAATGATGCTGATGGTTGGAATTCCGGCAGATCTCCCCGTGGTGGGTAGGGATGGGCTGGAACTGCCCTGTGCCTGCACTCGGGGCTTGCACCTGTGTGCAGAGCAGGCGGTGACTTAACCCCTTGGTTTGTAACCTCAGGTTCTATTATAACGTGGAGTCCTGTGGGTCTCTGCGCCCGGAGACCATCGTTCTGTCCGCATTGTCCGGCCTGAAGAAGAAACTGAGTGACCTCCAGACCCAGCTGAGCCACGAGATTCAGAGCGACGTCCTCACTATTAACTGAGGTGGCTCCTTGCAAGACAGTGCTGAGGTGTGAGTGATGGAGCAGGTCCTTGCCTCTGCCTGGCCGTGATCTGGGGAGAGGCTTTTACCTCCCCATCTCCCTCTGCCTTTCCTGGCCCAGCTCTGCTGGTTGGTGACGCCTCTTCCCTGACCTTGCTTTCCAGGGAAAGCCATTGTGTTGTGTAGGGTAAAACGGGAAGGGAATCAATCAGTGAGCATCTTTGCTAGGACAGGCTCCAACTGATCCCAGAGTTTTGGTTCTGGTTTTGGATTCTGGCCATGTGGTGTTTGGGACTGGGAAGCGTGTACCTTGGTTACACAACCCTACCTTATTTACATGTCCATTCCTCACTGTGCTGAATAAAGCCTTACCCCCACATTTTTCTGTCATCCCTGAAAGCTCGGCCGGGGCTGCAGGAGGAGATGTCACATCATTTACTTCTCTCCAATAGGCATTAACTTAATGAGATGTGCTTTGGAGGGAGCATTGCTTGCTGATGCTGATGGCTGCTCGTGACATTATCTCCCGAGGAGAGCAGCACCCCTCCCGCAGGCAGCCCGTGTTCGAAGCAGATGTTTGAAGCCAGGGTGGGCAAGATGCTGCAGAAGGCAGCGCTGCAGGGGAGCCCAGCTGGGTCAGGCAGGCAAAGCTGTACTTACAGACTCCTTTGGAGCTAAACACACACCCCTCTATGTGTATAACCTTTCTGTGAGGAGCTGGGTGGCAGGGGGTCTGTCAGGAATGACCCTGGATGACACTTTCCAGTGTGCCCACAGCCCCGAGGGCGTGCTGGGCTTGAGCTTGGTGCAGGTTGCATATCCTGACCCCTCTGGCAGTGGCTTAAAGGCTCCAGCAATGGTGTGGGTCACCCCTTCTCCTCCCCTCCATCAGTGCCCAGCGTGGCTTGGGATGAGCTTCTCAGTGACACTTTCCTGGAGAGACGTGCCACTTCTGTGCCATGGGGGCTGGGAGGGAGGGGAAGGCATGTGTGCCCCTGACATGGGGCATGGGGATGGCTCAGGGAGTGGTGACAGGGTCATGCTGAGCTGGAGAGAGCAGCCTGTGTCAGCACTGCCTTCCAGGGAAAAGCTGCTGTGGCTGGGCTGCTGTTTCCATGTCCTTGCCTGTTCCTGGAGGGAGCACTGCATCAGCTGACATGGCTGTCTCACCGTGAGACCAGCACTGCCAGGCAGTCATGGCATGGATAACTTACCTGGCACAACTCTGGCAGAGCTGGAAGATGACGTGGCTTGAAACTCCTTCACCTGGGGAGTTGAAGCCACCACTGCCCTGGCACGTCCCTGGAGCTTCGGGTGTCTGGAGGCAAGGGATAACAATGGAGTGCTGGCATCCTGTTTCACTCGGGGTTGCTTGATGGAGAGTGGCAACTCGCTCCACCCTTCTCCCTATCCCAGCGGTTTTAGGGCTTCACTTGAAGTGTCCTGGCCATGGCTGGAGGCAGAACAAAGCTCTGAGCCAAGCTTGCTGCCAGGAGCCTCAGGAAATCTCCCCCCATCAGCATTTTTCTCCCTGGCAGCCACTACTCCCACTGGCGCTTGGATGGAACAGACAAACAGGAAGGGTGGATGTGGATAAGGGTTGTTTATTCATTGAGCAACTCCTTAAAAAACAGAAAACCGAAACATTTTTGGTAACAAATGTTAAATCTTTTCCAGATGAGGTGTGTAGCCAGGAAAAGAGAGCAAGTTACACCTCTCACCCAGGGGAGGACGTGCTGCCGGGCAGTGCTGGGGTCCGACGAGCCCCTCCGTGCTCGGCCGTGCTGCAGGAGTGGCCCTTCTCTGTCCCAACATTCCCCCAGCCTCAGCCACAAGCTACACCAACCCCAAGACACAGTATTTACAGACCACAGGTTCCCACATCACAACACTCCCCGTGCCCAACACAAGGACCTGGAGCTTTAAAGGGCAGAAAGAAAACCACCAACCATCCGACCCAGACGGAAAGAAGACTCCAAAAAAACAACAAGGTTTGCACGGCAATAAAAAGATAGCCCTTCTAAAGGAGGTCAATAAATAGAACTAGAAAAAAATCAATTGCTTTTGAGTTCAGCACATAAAGCCCAGTTCCCCCCGGGCAAGGGCTGGTACCCAGTGGGTGAGGGGGGAGTGAGGGCTATGGGAATGCACAGAGGAATGCAGCTCTCCCCCCACTGACATGAGCTTCTCTGCCCTGGGACTTCCTATATCCACAAAGCTGCCCCTCGAGAGACAGATGCTACTGGCCAAAACCAGTCCCGGGGTTGCCCACCAGCAGATAAACCAGGGGCACAGCGGGGGCACACGGCTGTGGCTGGAGGAGTGAGGGGTGCTGGGGTGGGGGAAGCCGGGGAGCTCGGCCCTGCCCGGCTGCTCACCCACCCAACCCCCCTGGAAGGAAAACCAGTTTCTCCTGAGACATCTCAATTCTACAGCGAGTTTAAACAGCTTGAAGTGCAAAAATCAGCTCAGGGGTGGCAGGGTGTCCCCAGGAGCACCCCACTCTTCACGGGAGGGTGGGACCCTGCACCATCAGCCTGGCACAGCCACATCCTCCGGTGCTGCTCCGTGCCCGGGGCAGGGTGATGCTCCAGCCTTCCTGCCTCGCAGAAAACACTCCGAACTTCTTGACAACCCCCCCCCACCTCTCTTCACCTCCCAGCAGGATCCCCAAGAGTCAAAAACCTCTGAGCATCTGCCCGAGGGCTCTTCGGCAGCCACCACATTTGCATTTGTGTGAGAAGGAAATATCTCTTACAATACAGATATTCAATATATATTTGAAGTCAGTCAAGGCTGATCCAGCCGTCGCCTCCACTAACGCCAGGGCGCGAGCCAGCGCCTGCTCCCCAAGGTCTTGGCAGGGAGGTGCCAAGGTCTCCTGGGGATTCTGAGGGGTGGCTGCCTGCATCCTTGCCACCCTCTGGGGAGGAAAAAGGGGACCCTTGCCCTGGTCCCCCCACCCGCCAGCTCACGGGGATGATGTGGGCTCCCTGCTTTCAGGCTTGTCGCTTTTGGAGGACTTTGGCTTCAGCAAGATGAACCTGTTGAGGAGGTCGGTGTCCGAGCTGGCCTGGGCGCCCGCATACACCTCCCCTGGGGACAAAGCAGAGGGTGGGCTCACTCAGTTAGGAATGCCATGGGGGCTGGAGGAGCAGCAGCTCCTTGGCAGGGGAGCAGGGACACTCACCGGCATAGCTGGAGGACTCAGCCATGTTCTGGGAGCCGGTGATGTGGTGCCAGTAGGCGCTGCGGGGCAGCATGGTGGTGGGGGTGCAAGGGTAGGAGAAGTGCTCAGTGCCTTTGTTCAGCAGCTGTGGTGGATGAGAGGGGGAGAAGGGTGACACAGGGCCCCCTGAGTCTCCCCCTGCTGTGCCCCACCACGGGGTGGGCTGGAGCTCACCCTGACGTTCTTCTCCATCTCCAGCAGGACCCTCTTGTGCTGCTCAGCGATGGCCAACGTGGCGCTGTGCACGCGCTGGTAGATCTGCTCACCTTCCTGCGTCTGGAAGGTGTAGAGACCTTCCCCTGCATCGCACATCCTGCAGGGACGGGGCAGGGAACGTCACCAGGGGTGATAAACAAAACCCACCCCAGGTGGCAGCTGGCCCGGCTTCCCATGCTCTTAGAGCTGTCCAAGTGTCCCCTTCATGGTGTTGAGCTGCGACTAGACCCAGCTCCAAATGCCCCCCGCCTTGGGGCACCCTATGCAGGCCGTGGCCATCACCCCAGCCTCAGGCCTGCCCTGTGGTGATGGCAGCAGTGCCATCTCCTGGAGCATCCAGCTGGATGTAGGCATGCAGCATTGATCCCCATCCTGGCAAGGGTGACATCTCACCGCCCGGCCTCGAAGGTGAAGCGGGTGGCGTCGCGGCCGTAGCGGCGCAGGGAGCAGAGGGGCCAGGAGACCAGCTTCACCCGGGGGTTGTGCGTGTCCCAGAGGTAGATGTTTTCATGGGTGATCTGCAGCTTGCACTCGCCGTAAACGTCCAGGTTGGGGCAGGGGAGGAGGAACACGTTGAACCGGTCTGGAGACGGGGAAAAAAACCAGAAAATAAAACAATCCGTGGGGGGTGCAGCACAGCGGGGCGGAGCCCTGGGCAAACACCCCGCCGCCACGCTCACCCGTCTGCTCGCACTGCATGCCGGGCGCCAGCAGGTCGGGCTCCCCCAGGCTGATGTCGTTCAGGCGGGCGCCCAGGCACTCCACTGACAGCGTCTTGTACCACTCCTCCGCCTCCAGCTCTGCAAGGCACCACGGCAGCCCCTGGGCAACCCTGGCCAAGCTGGGGTGCCTCACCCGGCACCCCCAGCCCGGCATCCGTGGGCGCTGCCCCGTACCTGAGTCGCAGGTGAAGGTCCGGGCGGAGTCGTCGGTGAAAACGATGGCCACGGCCTGTCTCTTGGTCTCCTTGGGCAGCCGGGTGATGCACTTGACGTTGCTGATCTCAGTGACCTGCAGAGGAGGTTGGGGGGCAACACTGAGGGTTGCACCCAGACCCCTGCTGCGCTCCCAGACCCTGTCAACCCCTGCACCCAGACCCTGTTCCATGCTGCACCCACACCCTGGCCCCTGCAGCACCCAGACCCCAGATGCTGCACCCAGATCGTGTTCCCTGCTGCACCCAGACCCAGCTCCATCCCACTGGACCACACGGGGCAACAGCCACCCAGCAAGCTGAGGCAAGGAGGGACGTGGCCTGGCACGGGGCCCCCCGCAGTGGGGAGCACCCCAGCACCCCTACAGCGCACCCCCTCACCTTGGGGCACCCACGCAGGCATGCAGACTTCTCATCCGGGTACTTCTCCAGGCGCTGGGGCCCTTTGCTGGAGGATTTCCTGAAGACCAGCCAGCAGCGCCGGTAGATCTGCCGGACACAGAGCGTGGGGGTCCCCGTCCCCACCCCCCAGCCCCATGCCCCCATCCCCAGGACCTCTGCCTAGTTCTGCTGACCCTGCTGGGCCTGGGAACAGGAGGGTATGCTGGGGATGGGGATAACCCGGGGCTGCCATCATCCGCCCCCACCCCTCTGCCAGTGCTAATTACAGCGCTTAATTAATGAACATAGACAAAGCTCCCAAGGGGACCCCTGTCCTGGCATCTCCCCGTCCCCTCTCCCGCAGCCCCTGCTTCAGGGGGTGGTGGGGCCATCGTCCCCAAGCATGTGCCCCCCCTCGAGCCCGCTCCCTCTTTGTTCTCCTTAATTAGCATGAAATTACCCAGCATGCTCGCTGCTGCCGGCTCCCAGCCATGGAGGCAGGCGACCGAACCCCCTGACCCCCCACCTATGGGTGCTGCAATTCAACACCACCCTAATTGGCACCCAGCAGCTCCCCCCCAACCTTCCGGGGTGGGGTATCCCCGACGCCAAACTGCGTGTGGGGGGAAACTGAGGCACGGGGGGCGGGGAGGGCTCACGGACGTCCCCAAGCCCTCTACGATTTGGGACAGGTGAACGGGTGTCACTCGGTGCAGGATCTGTCCGGTTGTAGGATCTGGACCGCTGGGGCTGCTGGATGGTTTGGGTACCAACAAGTGGCCTGTCCCTGCCCCCCCTTTACTCCCCCGCCACCACAGCTCCCAAAATGCTGCTTGTTCAACCCAAAACCAGAAGCACAGGATGCCACAAGAGGGACCCGCAAGAGAGACCCGGCCTCGTCACCTCGCATGGAAAACAGCACCCCAAATCCACGGGTGTCCCCCACAACGCCCCCCATTCCCCAAAATCCCCACTCACCCCCAGCTTCCTGCTCTTCATCCTCACATAGCCCTGCTTGATGATGTCGTTAAAATTCGTCGCCATGGCGATGGCTCGATGGGGATATTTTTTTGGGGGGGAGGGCTGCCTTCACCTTTGCCTCCCCCTCTCCATCCTCTTCCTCCGTACCCCTCCTGTCTCACCACCGGCCCAGCTCGGCACTAGCAGTGTCCCCCATCCTGGCTGGAAAAGAGAAATGACAGATCGACGGGTGACATCTTCCTCCTCCCCCTCCTCCTCCTCCTCCTTCCTGTCCTACTCCTCCTCCTCCTCTTCCTCCTCCCTTCGCTGCCTGAACCATCCGAGTGGAACAGTCCGGTGTTAACCCCTGCCAGCACGGTGGAGCCAGGCCGACACACAGAGGCCTGGCACCAGCCCCAACATGTGTCCCGGGGGACACCCACACCGGACCTCGCCCACAGGTCTCCATCACCTCCCGCACTGCCCCTCCTTCCTTCCAGGCTGCTCGCTTGGGCAGCAACACGTCCCCTGCCGCCGGGAACCAGCGGGGTTCGGTGTTAAGGACCTCCTGTTGGCCAGGCCAGCTCTGTGTGAGGTGTTTTAGCCCTGGCACCGGGTGCCAAAGGGACCCCAGCTCCCAATCTCGCACCCCTCGCTGTAACCCAGCCTCCCTCCAGCCCTGTCACGAGCTCGGCCTTGCTCAGCTTGGTCCCTGCTGCTTCCCTCAGGCCCGAGAGGTGGGACCAGGTGGGAACTGGGTTCCCTTCCCAGCTGGAGAAGTCCCATGTAGAAGAGTGTAACCCAGGAAACGAGATGGGGCCATCCCCATGGATACTCCTCCGTGTCACTGATGGCCTGGTGCCCAAAGCCCAGCACCCAGAAGGATCCACTTGGGACGGCACCTTGGGGACCCCCCTCTGCCCCGAGAGAGGCCGGGGGCAGAGCTCACCTCCATCACCCCCACCTCCATCATCCCCACCCCACGCACATGAACACCCCGAGGAAACTCAGAGATGCTGAAGGGCACCTCCTGCCCCCTCCCCGACCTGTCACCTCGGCACCCCCACACCCGGTCCCCCGGCCGACCCTTCCATCACCCCCAGGTCTCCCACCACCACATCCCTCCCGCCGCTGTCACCCCCGCGCCGGGTGCCCCCGACACCTGTCACCCCGAACTTCTGTCAAGCCCTGCCGTGTGTCACCCCCTCCGCTCGCCACCGTCGCCCCGCCCGTCGCCCCCCTTACCGGGCTCCCCTTTGCGGGCGGCCCCGCCGGAGCCTCCGCGGCGCTGCGAGCCCCGAGCCCCGGAGCCGCGCGGCCACGCCCGCCCCGGCCACGCCCCTCCAGGCCCCACCCCCCCGGCCCGGTACCCCCCCTTCACCCCCCCGGGCTGCCCAACCAGAGCCACAACCGGCCGCCCTGCAAAGAGGTTTCCATCATTAGGCTTCAGAGTGAACACCCTGCGGCGACTGACGGGCGGCGGCGGCGGCGGCGGCCTCTCGCCGAGCTCATCACCCCGTCTCCTCATCCCTGTCCCTGTCCTCTGTGGCCCCAAAATCTTTTCCAGGGCGTCCCCCACTAAAACTGCCCTAAGGCACCACCCTCCCCATCCCCCCCAGCGGCCTCACTTGTTGGGCCATAAAAATATGAATGATTGCTAGAAATAAAAGGGCATTAAAAAAACCCTGTGAGCAGCAAAGAGCCGCGCTTTTAGCCAATCAATTAAAAGGCAGAGCGAGGGGATTAGCTCACCGAAATATTAATTTTTAATAAGGTTGTGTCTGAGTTCCTCCAAAGCCCCCAAGACCCTGAGCTGTGGGGGTGGGCTGTGAGGGCTGGGCTGGGGTGGTCAGCATCCACGTGGGAACATCCCTTCACCCCTGGGTCAGCACCTCTGCACCTCCCCAGGGTGAGCACCCCTGCACCCACAGGTCAGCACCTCTGCATCCACTGGTGAACACCCCTGAACCCACAGGGGAGCTCCCCTGCACCCATGGGTGAGCACCCCTTGCTGCACAGGCCCAGGGACAGGCTTTACCCACACCCTGGGCTGGTCCCCAGGCACGGGGACAGGGGTGGCAGGGGTGGGCTGTGGCTGGTGGAGAAACATCCATCGTCCTTGATGTGTCCCCTCCCAACCCTTGCTCCCACGTGGAGACAAACACAGCAGCTCACCACACTACCAGAGCCTGGGCCCCTCTGGGCTCTGTATTTATAATAAAAAAATCATATACAAATACATACATATATATAATATATATAAAAAAAAGTGGGCAGGAGGGCGTTGTGGATGCCGGGCTCAGTGCCTCTCTCTGCCTGCGCCTCCTCCTCCTGGGCTGCTCAGTGACACTGGCTTTGGTGGCCACATCTGTGTTCCAGGAGTTGCTGGTGGCGGAAGGGGCATCCAATACTGTCCGAGAGGCAGCGGGTTTGGAGCATCCCTGGGCAAGTTCCTCCCCACCGCTCCGCGCCTCAGTTTTCCCATGTGTACGAGGGTCGCCTCACGGCTGGGCCCTGTGGTGACGTGTTCACTCAAGCGCAGAGGACAGATGTGGGACGTCCCCGCGGCGGTGGCACCGGCCCTGGGCTCTAGGGCACCTGGATCTGCAGGTCCTCGTCCTCGTCGGGGTCACTGGTGCCGTCCCCGGCATCGTCGGGGCCGAAGCGGGCGCTGCGCATCTTGCCGAAGAGCGGAGTGCTCTGCTGCCGCCGCAGCCTGCCGAGGGACAGCCACAGCTGAGCCCGTCCCCCTGCACCCCTACAGCATGGCTGCACCCCTACAGCATGGCTGCACCCCGGGGGCCTCCCTCCTGCGGCCTCCACCAAACTCTGGGTGCGGGATCAGCTCCCCCCGCCTGGGGCTGACCCTCCAGCACAAGGAACAGGAGCCGTGGATGGTGCTCGGCACAGGTTAAATTCCTCCAGGGCTGGACACCACTGTGCTGCTCAGAGCCACACAGGAGTGCTGAGCTGGGAGGAGTCGTCCCCCTAAATGAGGATCCCCCCAAAATCCCCAGGAAGTCCCCATTCCTGGGAGCCTGCGGAGGTTTTAGCTCCTCACTCGCCCTTGCGTGAAAATTCATCAAAGGAAAATTTATGAAGCAAATTTGAAATCCAAAGGCCCAGGATCCAGTGAGATCCAAACCGTCCACTGCACTTTACTGGAAAGCATGAATTATTTAGGGACGAGTACATGGTGAGGCTGCGGGGGGGTGGTGATGAAGCCTCCATTATTCCTCCATGATTTAATGCAGATGTCCCAATAAAATAAAGGATGATTATAAACACCCCTCCTCAGTGCCTCCCGGAACCACGGCATTGATCCCATGGCCATTTCAGCTTTTTACTGCTGGAGAAGTGAAGCAGGGCCAGGGAAAGTTTTTAAGGGCAATAAACCTCAACTCCCACCTCCCCAAACTGGTGTGGGATGCTTGGAGCCTGCCCTGGCCCTGGATACTGGTGGGTGCAACCCTAAGCAGTGTGAAACTGGGCTGTACCAGTCCCTGGGCAGCCTTGTGCTGGTTTAACTGGGAGGGGAATGCCATTCACCTTGCAGTGGGGTAAAGGCTGCTCTGAGGATGGCTGTGCTCCTTCCGAGGATGTCGGAGGCACTTTGGCCCAGCTTAGCCCAGGGTTCAACCAGGCAGATGCTGGTTGAGGGATGGTGGTAAGGAGAACACCACCCCACCCATGAGTCCTTGCTGGTCCCCACAGCATCCCGCCCAGCCCCTGCTCACCGGGACTGCAGATGCTCCAGCTGCACTTGGAAGCTCTCACTCTGCTCCGTCTGCTCATCCAGCGACCGCTGCAGCTTCCGCGTCTGGTTGTGGGCCTCATCCAGCTGTGGGGTGGGATGGGATGGGATGGGATGGTGCCGTCAGCAGCCACGAAGGCATGAAGGGAGCAGACCCGCCCACCTCAACCCCCTTCACCAGCACGAGCTTCCCCACCTCATCCTCAGCTTGGGCCAGCTCCTTCTTCAGCTCCTCCACCCTCAGGCGCAGCTTCTTCACCTCTGCTTCGTGCTGCTCCACGCGGCGGTTGGCGTGGGCCAGCTCTGCCATCTTCTCCTGGTACTGCTTCTTCAGCTTGGTGTGGATGTGCTTCAGGTCAGCCAGCTCCTGTGGTGGGCATGGGGCAGGGGGCTGAGCAGGGGAGAGCCACCCCCACCACTGAGTGCCCCCTTCTCCCTCCCCAGGGACCTCTCCCATTGCCCCACCCCATGAGCCAGGAGCTGATGGAGCAAGGATGGGGTCACCACCATCCCTTAGGTGAAGGGGGGTGGCAGAGTTTGGGCTTGAGGGAGTCCTTGGGGAAGCTGAGCCCCATGACAGGGTCACCCAGGGATGCAGTAATGGGGGCCAGGACCACCCCTATGGTACCTTGTTCTTCTCGAAGAGCTCGGCCTGGATGGTTTTGAGGTCGGTGTCCAGGGCACTGGCTGTCTGGCGCCGCTTGCGAGCCAGCACCTCCTCCAGGTCCTCGATCTGTGCCCGCAGCTTCTTGTTCTCCCGCTCCAGGTTGAGCTTCTCCGTCTCCAGCCGCTCCCGACGGCCCCACTCGGCCGCGTTCTCTGCCTGCAGCCGCTCCATCTGGGACAGGGACATGGGGTGGCTGGGGGGCAGCAGGGACACCCCTCGCTGCTCCCTTTGCCCCCCATGTTGGGGTTTGGACTCACCTCCGCGCGCAGCTCGGCCAGTTTCTTGTCCATGCTGGAGCGAGCGCCCAGCTCATCCTCCAGGTCCTCGGAGATGCGCCCCAGCTCATCCTGGTGGATCTCCTTCAGGATATTGAGCTGTGGGGGGACACAGCACCCCAGGTGGACAGTGAGCACCCACCTTCCACCACCTGAGCCCTGCCTGCACCCACCCACCCACCCAATCTCTGCAGATGGACCCGCTGGCTCAATAGGACTAATGAAGACCCTTAATGAGCACCCTGCAGCTGGGGAGGTGGCTGTGGGCCACCATGTGCAACCATGAGGACGTGCCAGCCCCCGGGGACAGGCCATCCCCCAGGCACCCTGCTCCCCAGGCACCTTGCTCACCTGCTTCATCACCTCCTGCTTGTTCTTGTTGAGCTCCTCATACTTGATCTTCCACTGGCTGAGCTCGCCCTCCAGCTTCTCGATGTTCTTGCTGAGCGCCAGCTTGTCCCTGGGGAGAGGCAATGCTGGTGACAGCCAGCAGAACCCCATGGGACATCCCATCCCAGCGGGGACCGGGCTGGGATCAGCTGGCAGCATGCAAGGATGATGCCCCAAGCACTCACTCCCGCTCCTTGAGCAGCACTTTTTGGGACTCATCCAGCCTCAGCTTCAGGGCGGTGACTTTGGTGGCATCCTCCTCCATGACGCTGACATCCTCCCAGAGCAGGCGGCTCCGCTCCTGGCGGCTGAAGGAGGCCCGGGGGCCCCGCTGCTCCCAGCTCTCATCCTGCTTGCTCGTCAAGATGTTTTCCATCAGCTCCAGCTCCTGTGGCGCCGTGGGTGGCCCAACACAGGGAACAGGGTGAGGGGGTGGCCCTGGCTTCCCAGCACCTACAGCACCCAGCCCTCACCCCATAACCAAGAGCATCCCTCCCTCCACTGCCCTCCCTGTGCTGCTCTGAGGGGTCTGACACCCCCCCATGCTGCTCCGAGAGAGATCTGAGCCCACAAACCTGCTCTGTGGGGTCTGACACTTCCCACGCTAATCCAAGAGGAGTCCCCCCATGCTGCCCACCTTTGTAGGGCAGGCAGTGGTGGTTTGAGGGTGCACATGGGTGGGTGA